TGACCTGGGCCAAAGGGAGACACTCAGCCACTGAGCCACCCAGGTTGCCCCCATGTCTTATTTCTTACTTCAGAGGGAAATTTGTACTGTTTCATCTAGGATATTTGCTGTAGATTTTCATAAATAATCTTTAAGAGGTTGAGAAAAGTCCTTTCTTTTCTGAGTATGCTGAGAGTTTTTGTCATAAGAGTTCTAGAATTTTTCAAATATTCTGCATACAATGAGATCATTCTGGAGGTGGTTTTTTTTCTTTTTTCTTTTTTTTTCTGGAGGTGTTCTCCATTTGTCTTACTGTTAATATGGGCCATTACGTTTATAGATGTTTATATGTTGAATCTTCCACTGTTGAATTTTTGGAACAAGTTCTTATTTATGTTGTGTAAGGTTTTTTTTTTTCTTTTTTTCCTGAGATTTTATTTATTTATTTAAGAGAGACAGCAGGAGCAGAAGAGTGATGGGCAGAGGAAGGTTTAGAAGCAGACTCCCCACTGAGCAGGGAACCTAACACAGGGCTCCATCCCAGGACCTCAAGACCACTACCCAAACCGAAGGCAGACGCTCAACTGAGTCACCCAGGCGCCCCTATATTGTGTAATTTTAATAATACTTTTCTAGGGGGATCCCTGGGTGGCGCAACGGTTTGGCGCCTGCCTTTGGCCCAGGCCGTGATCCTGGAGACCAGGGATCAAGTCCCACATCGGGCTCCCTGCATGGAGCCTGCTTCTCCCTCTGCCTGTGCCTCTGTCTCTCTCTCACCTCTCTTTGTATTCTCATGAATAAATAAACAAAATCTTTAAAAAAAAAAAAAAAAACCTTTTCTATTCTGTTGGCTGGTGTTCTGTTGAAGACATACTTCTATATTAATAAGGGATATTATTCTGTAGTTGTCTTGTGATGTCTTTGCCTGGTTTGGTATCAGAAAAATGCTGGTCTTAGAGGCATCTAGGGTTTGTAGTTGTTTAAGGGTCTGACTCAGTTTTACCTCAGGCTGTGATCTCAGGGATATAAGATCAAGCCCCCATGCTCAGCATGGAGTCTGCTTCAGATTCTCTATGCCTCTCCCTCTGCTCTTCCTCCCCCAGAACTCACTCACTTTTTCTAAAATAAATAAATCCTTGGGGGGGCAAGAATAATGTTGGCTTCAGAGAATAAATTAAGAAGTGTTCCATCTTTCATATCTTGTAGTGCTCTTTTACTTACAAGGAACTTCCTCACCTTTTGTTTCTATTGGAAGCCTAAATTTCTCCCTTATTTTCAAAGGACAGTGTTTCTAGAGACAACTGATTAACAGGGACACCTGGGTGGTTCAGTGGTTAAGTGCCTTCGGCTTAGGACGTGATTCCTGGGTCCAGGAATTGAGCCTGCTTTTCCCTCTATGTCTCTGCCTCTCTTTCTCTGTCTCTCATGAATAAATAAATAAAATCTTTAAAAAAAATTAACAGATTTTTGTTTTGTATGTTTTTGTCAGCACTTTAAATGTTATCCCATTGTCTCTGGACATCATGGTTTAACTGAAAAATCACCTCTGAAAATCAATGTGCGTCCTTTGTATGTGATGTTCCCTTCCTGCTTTCATCTCTCTTTACCTTTGTCTTTCACGTATTATGATTTGTTGCAATGTGTGCCTCTGAATTTTTCCAAATTGTATGTTCACTGAGTTCTTAGATTTGTAGAGTCTTGTCTCTTAACATTTGAGAGATATGTCTTCCAGTATTTTTTCTGCCTCCATTTCTTTCTCCTTTCTTTTTGGGACTCCCATTGTTCATATGTTGGCCCACATGATGTTGTCCTGCAGAACTATTAGACTCTTTATATTCAGTCTTTTTCTTTGTGCTCCTCAGACAATAATTTCAGCCAATCTCCCTATCAGTTTGCTGAATCTTACTTCTGCCTCTTTAGATCTGATATTGAGCCTGTCTATGAAATTTTTCAATTCAGGAATTTTACATTACAGCTTTGGAAAGTGTTTAGTTTCTTTTTCCATCTTCTCTTTGTTGATACTGTTTATTTAAACAATGTTCTCTGGATTGCTTTTTTTTTTTTTTTAATTTTATTTATTTATTTATTTATTTATTTATGATAGTCGGGGGGTGGGCAGAGACACAGGCAGAGGGAGAAGCAGGCTCCATGCACCGGGAGCCCGACGTGGGATTCGATCCCGGGTCTCCAGGATCGCGCCCTGGGCCAAAGGCAGGCGCCAAACCGCTGCGCCACCCAGGGATCCCTCTGGATTGCTTTTTAATTCTTTGTCTATCATTCTCTTTAGCTTGAATAGTTGATTTAAAGTACGTGTTTAGGGCAGCCCTGGTGGCGCAGCGGTTTAGCGCCGCCTGCAGCCTGGGGTGTGATCCTGGAGACCCGGGATCAAGTCCCACATGGGGCTCCCTGCATGGGGCCTACTTCTCCCTCTGCCTGTGTCTCTGCCTCTCTCTCTCTTGCTCTGTGTCTCTCATGAATAAATAAAAAATAAAAAAGAATCTTTAAAAAAAAATAAAGTATGTGTTTAATTTAGTAAGTTCAAAGTTTGGGCTTCCTTAGGGCCAAGTTTTGTTATTTATTTAATATTTATTTTTCTCTCTGGGTCATGCTATATTGTTGTATTGCCTCCTTTTTAACTTTCTGTTTACAACGGGACATTTGGAATATGCTGAAACTTTGGAAATCATATTTTCCCTTCCCAGGATTTTTTTTATGTCTCTTGTGATTGCAATTAATGTGTTTGTTTCCCTCAAATTTTGTGTGGTGTATTTTCTTTGTTATGTGTAGTCATTGAAGCCTTTGGTTGACTTATTGGTTGCCATTCCAGAGATTTCCTGAAACTCCTGGAAGCAAACACAAAACAAACCAACTTTCTACTCTGTGTAGATGTGTTGGGTGTGTGTGTGTGCTTATGTGTGTGCTGGGAAGTGCATGAAACATTCAGGGTAAGAAGTTTATGACAACAGTTCCTTACCCTTCTGCTTGCTCAGAATCTGATGGTCAGCAGGAGGGAAAACCTTGAGGGCTTCTCAGGTCTTTTCTCATGTGCCTGGTCCTGGGCATGTCTGCCACCTTCTAGGGTCTTCTATGTGGGGGATTTTCAAAGCCTTATTTCCCACTGCACCTCACTCCCTGGTGTTTTTCTCGGGGTTTTCTCTCATGAATAGATAAATAAAAATTAAAAAAAATAAATGTTTGTGGGCAGCCCTGGTGGCGCAGCGGTTTGGCGCCGCCTGCAGCCCAGGGTGTGATCCTGGAAACCTGGGATCGAGTCCCACGTCCGGCTCCCTGCGTGGAGTCCGCTTCTCCCTCTGCCTGTGTCTCTGCCTCTCTCTCTCTGTGTCTCTATGAATAAGTAAATAAAATCTTTTAAAAAAATAAAAAATAAATGTTTGTGACAAATGGCTCCTGGTTATCACCAACTTAGAGATCTGAGGTAGACCAAAGAAAGGCAAGCATTTTGAGCCAGTCCTTCAGGGAGCCAGCAGGCAGATTAAAGAAACAAACAAATAACCAGTCACAGTCGTTTGAAGGTCCCATTTATTCCCTCTGGCTTGGGAAGCCTATACTTCTTGTAGACTCCCATCTTCAAGGCTACTTCCTGACTGTGGTGCAGAGCACAGAGTCAGGGCAAGTTAAAACAGCTACCTTTTTCTTGATTAAAAGTGTGCCTGGGGATCCCTGGGTGGCGCAGCAGTTTGGCGCCTGCCTCTGGCCCAGGGCGCGATCCTGGAGACCCGGGATTGAGTCCCGCGTCGGGCTCCCGGTGCATGGAGCCTGCTTCTCCCTCTGCCTGTGTCTCTGCCTCTCTCTTTCTCTCTGTGTGACTATCATAAATGAATAAATGAATAAAATAAACCTATCTAAAATCTTTAAAAAAAAAAAAAAGTGTGCGTGGTTGCTGGAATCCTGTGATGAATTTCCAGAGTTCCTATAAAGTTGGTTTTGATGGGTTTTGGTAGTTCATTTCCTGCTGTTCCTGCTGGAGTCTCCTAGAGTTTCCTTCTTTGCCACTTTGCATTTCCATGTCACAGAGTCCCATTGTTAAGCTCTATAATATTAAATATTTATCAGGACTTCTATTTAAAAATGGGTGACTTAACATATTTTCTATTTATGATAATGTGTGCTGCTTCTGAAAATCAGCTTCTTTTTCTCTTATGGATGAGGTCTTTAGAATTCTGAAGTCTATGTGCTCACTTCGGCAGCACATATTACTGGAATTCTAAAGTCTACACTTTATAAATGAACATATTTATTAATTACTTCTGGATTTGCCTTGGGTTACTAACATGTTTATGATTTTTATTAAGATTAACACATAATTAATTTCTACATATATTACAGCATGTAACCACAGGTAAGTGGTTATTAACAATGCAGTATGCCTGTTTTGCATGGATATATTTTTTGTAAGAAGTATTAAGAAGAATGTTTTATTATCCTTAAATGTTGTTTTAATATCGTATACAACACATATTCAGTAATTGAATTTAATATGTTTTTCAAGTATGATTCACCTATGTCCCTCCTATGAGGTTTTTAAGTTTTGGGATGCCTGTGAAAAATTTCTGTACTTCAGGGCAGTTGAACTTTTGATCACAGAACATTTGAAAATAAGCTTCCTGAAAATAATTTGAACTATGTGTAATTACTTTTTCATTGCTGAGGCATCTTGTGTTTCTAAACATTTGCACATCATGGTTGAGAAGCTTAATAACTCTGTTACGAATTATACTTCTGGCATAATATCTTTTTTTAAAAAAGATTTTATTTATTTGAGAGAGAGAGAGCACACACATAAGCAAGGGGAGTGGCAGAGGTAGAGGGAGAAGCAGGTTCCCCACTGAGCAGGTACCCTGACGAGGGGCTTGATCCTAGGATGCTGGGATCATGACCTGAGCTGAAGGCAGACACCCAACTGAGCCACCCAGGTGCCCCTGGTATAATACTTTTTCATGTATAAAATATCCATCTTCAAACTGGTTAATATGAAGCCTATCATTATTTATATATTACAGATTTCTCTACTAGATGTATGAGCAAAGAATTACCACCAAAAGATGACATTAATAATGGAGAATTATTCCAAACATTGATTTTGGAAAGACATAGAAGTCATGACTTTGATTTGAGAGAAGTCCAGCAAGATGTGAACAGATGTAAGACTCAGTGGCTATCTGAAGAAAAAAATGAAGGAATGACTGTATCCCATTACAAAAATCTCACTTGTAGAGAAGACCAAGAACATCAAAAATTCAGGAATAATTTCTCTGTAAAGCATAGTGTTTCCATAAAAAGTAGTAAGTCTCAATATTACAAACATGATATAATGAATAAGGCACTAAAAAGCAAGGTAGGCTATTCAGGAAGCAAGTACAAAAATCGTTTGGACAGTAGGCTTGGATTAAGCTCTCATTCACATGTGGCTCAACTGCAGAGATTTCAAACCCATGAGGAAATTTATGAAAATAATCAAGTTGAGAAGTCTACCAAAATGTCCTCAGTTTCACCACTTCAAAGAATTCCTTCTAGTGTCAAAACCAACATTTTAAATAAATATGAGAAGGTTCTTATGCATCCTTCATTACAGACACAACAGAAAACACCCAAAAGAGAAAAACCTTATAAATGTAGTGAGTGTGGGAAGACTTTTAGCCATTGCTCAACCTTAGCTAATCATCAAAGAATTCATTCTGAGCTGAAACCTTACAAATGTAATGAGTGTAGCAAAGTCTTTAACAGATTCTCAAACCTCACAAGGCATCAGAGAATCCATACTGGAGAGAAACCATATAAATGTAATGTATGTGGTAAGGATTTTATGATACGTTCACACCTTTGGGGACATGAGCGAATTCATACTGGAGAGAAGCCTTACAAATGCGATGAGTGTGGCAAAGCCTTTTCTGAGTGTTCAAATCTTGTTCAACATAAAAGAATCCATTCTGGAGAGAAACCTTACAAATGTAATCAGTGTGGTAAGGAATTTATCACCCGTTCTCACCTTTGGGGTCATGAGAGAATCCATACTGGAGAGAAACCTTACAAATGTACTGAGTGTGGAAAGGCCTTCACCGGGAGTTCAAACCTTACTCAACATAAGAGAATTCATGCTGGAGAGAGACCATATAAATGTAATGTGTGTGACAAGGCCTTTAGTCAGAATTCAAGCCTTATCGTTCATCAGAGAATCCATACTGGTGAGAAACCTTACAAATGTCATGAATGTGGCAAAGCCTTTAAGCAGTATTCAAGCTTGAATAGACATCAAAATATACATAGAGGGAAGATACAGATATAGAGCCTGTGGTAAGGTTTTATTAGATGTTCTCACCTTTGGAGTCATGAGGGAATGCATACTGCAAAAAAAAAACTACAAGAGAATGGCATGGCCTTCATGCCATGACTTAACCTCAAGAATCACCAAAGATTTCACATTGGAGAAAACCCTACAAATACAACATGTGATAAATTGCTTAAGTAGGTTGTATGATGTACTGTGTATGAGAGAATTCTTAGTGAGAACTAAGACTAGTTCTTAATTAATCAAGTAAGATGTTAAACTCTGCAGGAAAAGTAAAACTCAAAATGATTTAAAATTCCTGAGATAATTGATGTCAAAGGAGCAGGGGCATATGTGGAAATGCCCACTTAGCTTCAGTTTATACAGTCATTTGTCCTTTTAGAATTCTTGATGAGGTTACTTTATTATTGAATCATCACAGACCTTCCATGTGTTGCCACAGTTGTGTCTGTGATGGAACCTTTTCTTTGGGTCCTAACATAAACGGTGTTTTGTTTTTAATTTTCTTTTTTTTTTAATTTTCAATTTACTTGTTCATTGGTGGTATTTAGGAAGAGAGTTAACTTGTACTGTAATCTTGGATCCTGCAGCCTTGGTATAATTGCACATTAGTATTTTATCTACCATACTTGGGGGCATTGCATGCAATAGTTCAGAAGTTCTGGTGCCAGGTGCCACTCTGTCTTGTTCCTGGCATAAAAACAAAGCACTCTGTTACCATATTAATACCAAATGAATCTTGCAGTTATTAAGTCCAACTTGGTCATGGGGCATGATTCTGGATGTCTTCATGTCTTCCGTACAGAGTATCTGCAGTTATATTAAGATCTCAGATGCTTTATGCATCTATGTATTAGCATTTAAAATCTTTGCACATAAATGGAAATTGGATCACAGACAGAATTATAAATACTATACTAGTAATCTAAAGTATGAGTACAACCATCCAGCTTTTTCAGTAAATCATAATGGTTAAATCATGTGCATTGATACCTCCCCCAGTAAGTTTAAGTCCCCAGTCTGCTGCTAAACAAGGTGGGAAGATAGTGAAATCACCTAACCCTGTGTGCCTAAGTTCTCCTTAGAATCAGTGTAGTAGTAGTAGTCCCATCCTTGATTTTGGGAGGAATGAAGTCTTTTAAGTGCCTTGACATCAGAGATTCTTACATTATGAGTATTCTTTAGAGTTGCCCAGTTAACTCTCAGAAGTCTCTTAATGGAGCTAAAATTAAATATTTCTTAATGGGAAGTACGTGTAAGTGAAAAATACTGGATTTCACTTGAAATGGTAAATATAGGTGAAGCCTCAGGTTCCCATGCAGCATCCCCCAAAGGAAGAACATCACTCATTGTGAATGAACCCTCAGATGGCCTACCGGTTATTGACAGTAGAAATGGTCTTCTTATCACTGATGCTGATTAGAATCCTAGGGAATTTCTTCTTTCTTTACCAGTAAAATTTCCTTTTTGTCATAGGTGAAGATTAAGGTCCATAGATTTGAGTGTCAAGCACTTGTCTATAGCTGACTCCTTAGTTGTCATCTTTACAGGAATCTCCAGCACGGTAACAGCTTTTGGGTAGAAACATTTTCTCCCTGATTTTGGATGTAAATTTGTTTGCTGGGTCATAGAGTGATCCCATAGTATATTATGTAACATGTAAATTATCTGAGGGACCTGGGTGAAGTTTACAAGGACTTTTTCATATGATCTTTGCACAATTTGTGTATAGAAAATTACTTCAAAATAAAAAAGGCAGCATGATGTGCTGTGGCTTTTAGAAAGTTCAGGTGCAGCTCTTTATTCATATAGGAATGAAGGACATTATAGGTAAGTCCAAAAGTCGTTCTTAAAACTGAAATTCTTAAAACTTGTCATCTCTTTGGTAAATTTCTGGAACCGTAATGGATTATGCCTCCACCCCATATAATGTGCAGTTTACTCTGCTTTTAAGAACTGAATCATCAGAAGCACACGAGTAGAACCAAAGGATTGGATATTTACAGTATTGGCTTCATTATGTATTGGTAGATACTTTGTTCTGGAGCCACTTCTAATCCTGCATAAAGTGGGCAGATGGTCTGAGGAAAGGGGACGACAAATACAGAAGCACCATTGAAATTCTCTTCATGTCTAAATGAATGAAGCTTCCATCTTTCCCTTAACAGCACTAATGATGTTTTCTGCATCTTACACCAAGATTGGTGCCCTTAATCTCAGCGTATAGTTTTTCAAGTGGTATGTCAAATAGTTCCAACATGGGCAATAGCCCAAGATCCTGGATTCTGACCACTGAGTAAAACAACTGCATCAGCTCTCATTTCCACATGTCTGATGCAGAGGCCAAACATCCAGCCCAGTGAACCCATGAGGTTTCCGCGTAGGTGAACCGTCAGTGGACCAGTGTCAGACAGGGGAATCTAGGATCACCAAGGTCCTCACAATGCCAGGGGCTTTGCTTCAGGCTGCGGATACGATTCATTCCTGTAGAGTTGATATGTTGCTGATGCCAATCGGGATTCATTCTTAAGTACCATCTCTGACCAGCCAAGTCTTTTAGGATCTTTCTGCCTTGTTGGTTGTAGGGTCCAAGTTGATTCATCAACATAGGAATGTTACAGTAGACAATCACAAGTCCTGAATGGGTCAGGCTTCATTTTTTACAAATGTTCAGTAGCAAGCTAATGGCTGTTTTCCAAAGCAATTTACCTGTTATGTCAAACCTAAGTCCAAACCCCAAAGGAGTCTTCAAGATGGGAAACTGCTTGCCTTCTTCAGAGACTCTAAATGACAGAATCTGGCACAGTTTTGCATTTAGACTTCTTATACTCCAGAAGTCTGTTGAGGGGCTGGGTCCTTTCTTTTTCTTTTTTCTTTTCTCCTTCCTTCCTCCCTTCTGCCTTCCCTCCTTCCCTCTCTTCCTTCTTTTCTTCCTTTCTTTTTTGGGTGCCGGTAGTGGGGAAGACACATCAGTGTATTTTTCTTTATTGCTGGAATGAGCATTGCACATTGCCCACATAATTCTGATAAACTTTAACTGGAAAAGGACTCTGAATTTGTTACATTTTATCAGACTTACCTATTAGAGAAGGAATGTCCTAGATAGGGCTATTGAGACTAATGTCTCCAACTTTCCAACAAAGAATTCATCTACATAGTGAAACATTGACAGCAGGGTCAAGACGTGCTATATTCTCACCCGTGCACTGATGGCAAATGCCTGGGAGTTTGTTTCACCAGGACTGCTCTACTTTCAGCTCATCCTGAAGAATGTGGGTAAATATGGAATCACAAATGGTGATGGTTGTGAAAATTGGTAAGACATTTTGAAAAGTATTGGAAGTATGAACTAAAGCTGAATAGATGTAAGCCTATGACCATTAAATTTACTCTTCCATATGTAACCAACAGAAATTTATGCATGTGTCACCAAAGCACAAGTTCTAGAATTTACATAGCAGAGCTATTCATATAGCTAATAGCTCCACACTGAAAACCACCCGTGTGTGTATCAAGAGTGGAAAGATGAAAGTAATTGCTAGATGTTTACACAATGGAATTCTATTAAATGTTAGAGTCCACACAGTGGGACTAATGCTAATAAATGACCTACAACATGTGATAATAAGGATGAGTTCACAACATTTGGAATGTGGAGCCACATACAGAAGAGTCCATCCTATATAGGTCCATTTCTATAAAGTGCCAAAAAGGCACTTTGAAGAGTGATCTATGTTAAATGTCACATTACTGTTTACTGTGATGGGTAGTAACTGGGAGGCTTAACAAGGAGGTTTTGGGGGCTGAAAACCTGTGGGTTTTTTTTTTTTTTTGAACTAGGAAATGGATACAGAGATGTGTTCACTTTGTGCCATTTTACTGTGCTTTGTACTTAAGACTTATACATGTATCTTTAAAAATTGTTTTAAATGCCTATCACCAACTTTTAAAAATTCAGTAGAAGGTAAGTAGATTGTTTTTATGTCCTTACATTGTTCCTGTAAAGACATTAAATACTACTGTAATTTGTTTTTAAAATAATGTATTCTAATTCCTAGGTGAAACATGAAGATAGTATAAAACCTAAATAAAGGGTAGAGAATAATTGAAAATTTACACAGAAGATAGAAAAATAAAATAGACCATGGGTGATGAAGAACATGCAATAAATTGGTAAATCTAATCCCAAGTAAACACAGTTACATTGAACATAAATGTGTAGCTCTTGTTACATTCTAACATTGTTGGACTCTATTCAGTAAGGGTTTTCTCATAAGTTAAAATACTAGGATTAAATAAAATTAATGAAATACAATTTCATGGCATTTTAACCTAGTAAACTGCCAACAGGACTGTATAATAGAGTTCAACATAGGTTGTCATTATGATAATTGTAAGTGGTACTATTCCATTTATTAATGTAGTTTTTTTAATACTATTACTCAATAACAATCAGGCTGACAACTCACCACACATTCACACATGCACAGACATGTACAAATGTTTGTGTATTGCATCTTGACTTGTGATCTGATGTAAATATTTCTAAGTGTCCCTTATCATCTTAAAAAGTGTTTCTCTATTTCTGTGCCACAAAATTTATTATAATAATATTCATTATGTCAAACTAATTCTCTTAAAACTATTGAATCCTTAGTATTTTAGTACAGCTTTGTTTGGTAAACACAGATAGCTATATTATAATGTTTCTTATACTTGAGTAACTATTTTGCCCCTGTGGAAATCCTCTTGCCACAAACTCCAACAGGATTCTTGACTTTCCCTCTAAATGACTGTTCCTGTTTCTACAGGTTTAGTCAAAAACTCCACTGAATGCCCCCAGGTCTCTTTCTTTACAACATGAGAATTGTCATCTTCACATTATACAGAAAAATCTATTCTCCAGTTGCCAAAACTCATGCCACTTTATCCTAGACATTTTGCCTTTTTGTCTCTCACTCACCTGATGTCTTCTAAGCAATTAGCCATACATCTTTGCACTTTCATTTTTCCCACTGCAGTTTAATCTGGATGTTTCTACAGGAAAAAAATTTCTCTCCATAAAATTATCTTTCCAGTGACCACTATCTCTGTAATGTTGTAATGTACTAATTTCAACGTGGTCCCAAATATACCTGCTATGTGAACCTGATTCCCACTTCCGTTTCACCCCATTCTATTTCATTTTCCCAGAGGGCATTTTGTTCAGTTTCTTGAATGGCCATCTCACATACTGTTCCTTTTCCATGAACTTTACTAGTTATTCCATGCTAATTTCTAGGTAAATGTGTTATATCAAGTTGAAAGTTACACACTCAAAGACATCATAATATCCAGGTTATGGCAGTACCCACGTTTTATTTCATCAACTCTGACCTACTGCACTATAAACATTACAATTATGTGAGGATTTATGTAGTAATTACATAATTATAAATGTAAAATTACATTTACAGTTGTGTTTATGGTTTATTGGACACAACTGTCTATCCAACATCTTGTGTAAGGTGACTGTGTCTTCACTGTAGAACTCTGTGAAGAGAAGTGAATAAACAATAGATGCTGTGCATAAACAACTGTTTCATTTCTTTTTTTTTATGTGAACTCTGTGCCCAATGTGGGGCTTGAATTCTGAGTATGATCAAGAGTCTCAGCTCTACCGACTGAGCCAGATAGATGCCCCACTTTTCCTTTCTGATGAGATCAGGAGATTTTGTTACTTTTCCAGACAAAGCAGAGCCTGGACGCACAAGCCATGGCTCAGGAGAACAAAGGGATTGACACTTGGGAAAAATCCGTTGTTAAGGTAGAAATGTTCACCAGCAACCAACTGGGATTATTAATAAGAACAATGCAGACTTGGAGGTGGAGGACATGGTATAAAATGATACAAGGGTGCGCCCAAGGAGAAGGATTCCCTGGGTGACTGGTCCCGAGGGAGGATCTTGGAGAGAGATTGTTGCTATGAATGTGTCTGACTTTTGCTTGTGCAGGATGGAAACCATGGAGCCGCTGGCCCTAGAGCATGAGCACCAAGCAGCAAATATCAGAGGATGATAAAAATGTTGCCTGTGGTGACCGTGGTTTTGTGGTTATCTACCAGAACAGTATCCCAAATCCTTTTTCATTGTGAGGTTTGCATTATTCCATTTGTCAGTCAAATACAGGAAAAGCTATTTCCTAGTACTGGCAGGATCCAGTGCAAGAAAACAAAGCTCATGTGCCTGGGAGCTTTCACTTTAAGGTCTGCCCGTGTGGAATTTCTGGGGCTGATTGTGATGGCCTGGAACTTACTCAAGAGGCAGGTGCTTAAAAACAAACAAACAAAAAAAAAACGGAGCTGCTGATGGACACACCTGCACTGTGAAGGTAGAAAAGTTTGTATCTGACATCATCAAAGAAATCTTTCAAATCAAGAACTGCCACTGTCTGGTAGACTCCTTTAGAAAGGGCTAAAGAATAGGCCATAATTAGGTGGTTGATAGTCAAATCTGTGGACCCCACGCTGTGCCCAGTGGAGTAAAAGAGGAGATAATGGTAGAGAAGAGATATCTACGATTCTGAATACTGTCTGTGATAAGGATTGTTCTGTTGGTCATACTCCTGAAGCCATTCTGCCAGCTTGCAGTGACTGTTAATTGTTTTCGCTTCAGAGTCAGAGGATCCTGCATGTGAATATGATGTACAGGCTACATTTATCATGTCCATTGCAGTGGGATATTCTTCACAATACCATTGGTTCGTTAGACGATCATAGTTCTGTAATTTTTAGCAACATCTCTCGACTTAGTGATGTGTTTGTACATGACAGGAACAGACAACAGCCATATTAAAGTGCCATTTCAAAGATCTATCAAGTTCCTGGACATGTTTATTGTTGTTACTAGTCTAAGTTTTTAATACTCTGCTATTATTCTTATCCTGAGGAAAAGCTCCCACAGGTAGCAGCACTTCTCACTTTCAGGTGAAACTTCCCCCTAGCTCCCACTTTCCAGTGCATGGGATGGGTCCATATATCAGACTCTCCCTTTCTCACAATGGGACTCTGGGAGCACATCCACAGTACCCTTTGCATGTTCTCTTGAAGTCATGTAGGCACACCACCCACCCTAGTGGCTGTGTAAATGCTCTCTAGATGCAGCCACTTGAATCCCGGAGAGCTTGCCAGTAGCCACCCAAGTTGCCTGGGATTTGGGGACTTGAGGGACCATGATAGCCAGTGTTGGCTGCACCTCAGGGAAGACCTGGAGCTGCCATGCCTGCCCACACCTAACCCCCTCCCCTGGGAGCCCTGAGGACAGGCTTGGTGTTGGGAAAGTTGGACTGTTTCCTGAGAACTTAGCTGAAAGCCAAGCGTTTTGGAAAAAGATGGGGGAGGGCAGTGCCTTGAGGGGGAGTCGGGCTCCTGTGAAGGAGGGAGCACTGCTGGGATGAAACCTGCAGCTAAGTGCTGCCAGATAAGCACATCTGATTTTAGTGGACTGCCTCCCAGCTTTAGCTGCACGTGGGCCCCGGGGCTGGGTGCAAGGTGGCTGGACATCAGTGGGACTGGACTTTCTCTGACTTTGGTTAGAGAAACCACCAGGTAAGAAGAGGAACAGAAAACCTGGTGAGAGCATGAAGCATGACCTAGAGCTGATTTCTATCCCTTAATGAATCTTCCCCTTTGGTCACCATTAAACACCTTCTGTTCCCAGGCCCTTTACTTTGGAAGTAGGTCCTTGGTTCTGTGACGTAGACATATCCATTTCATGGAAAACCTCCAAGCACCAGACTCGTCCAACTTGCTCACACAGTTCAAATACAAAAGTGTGTGATTCCCCACACCCCACCTGCCCTGGCATTCCCTGCAAGCAAGATTATCTACTTATATACATGCTCAGGTGCCTTCCTCCAGGCCTCCTTCAGCCTCCTGGTCCCCCTAAAACTCAGTGAAACCAAAAGTTTTTGAGCCCCTTCCCTGCAGCTGCTGAAGCACCACTTCCATCTTGGTTCTGCTTACTCGCTGATTGGTTCCCCACACCCTGGCCCCATCTGGTGGGGGAATCCAGGGTGTGGGCCAGACAGTGAGGAGGGCAAGGCAGTGACAAGCTGGAACCTTCAGAGTAAGTACTGTCACTGCCCCCTTTCCAGTCCCTTGATTGGATGCCTCCTTTCAGTCTCCAGCTCTCAAAGTGGTTCCGCAGACAGGACCTGCAGCTAAGTTGGCACCATGCACACCGAGGCCTAGGCGAGCAGGCAGGATGATGCTCGGGTAGCCCACGCCACCCTGGGAGGCCCGCTTTTACCCGGTCAGATGCAGAGCGCCACTGAGGCCACTGCACAGCATGGCACAGAGAGGTTGCCCAGTCTTCAGGGGGTGAATCTCTGTGGGCAGTTGGGGTATCTGTGGGAAACTCTCCTGGGGTGTTGCGGTGAAACAGGCCAAAGCTGAGGGACAAGAAGGTGGAGTAGGGGGTATGTGCTGGGCGGGTCCCAAAGCACTGGGTGCTCAGCCACGCTGGGGGTAAGGCTGCTGCCGGTGGATGCATCCCTGCAGAGAAGGGTCCTGTGCAGCCAGTGCAGGCCACTCAGCCCGCCTGGGAGACACCCCAGGTCGAGGTCGGCAGGGAGCCAGTGGAGATTGCACTGTGCCGCCAGCCTCTGGCTGCAGGTGGCTCCACTGCACTTCCCATCCGGGGCGGTAGAACCTTCCAGTCCCACTGGCACGTGGTTTCCCCACCTGGCTCCTACCGGAGGCCAGGGAGCTCAAGGCCACACAGTCTGCACTTGGAACTTCCACATCGTTCCTTTCCCGCTTTCACTGAGGGAACAGCGTGGGCTAGGTGCTGGGTGGTGGCGTCTGGGCCACACCAGTGGAGTAACGCTTCTTAAAAATCAAACTGATGTTTTGGTCTTCTGTATTTTCTCATGAGTGTAGTCTTTTGGTGCCTTAGATGGAGCTCTTCTTAACACTTTTTCTCAATACGGATTTGATCACTTTGGGGACATAGGCTATAGCTTTGGAAATCTCATTTCTTTTTAATTACTCCATCCTCCTTTTTTTAAGTCCTCTTACCTCCTTTCACCTTCCTTCGAAATCCTAAGTCTGGAGCAACCAGAGGATAAACCTTGAAAGGAAAGTGGTTTCTTTTCAATGAGCATTCTTCTGCAAGTTTGGGGTGAGGCAGAAAGGTCCTGTAGGTGTGCAATCATTGACTGCCATGGACCATCAGGTTTCAGAGGTTACCTGCCACTCAAAGGCCAACTGTGCCCAGTTTCCTCTCACCCTTGCAAACCTCCACCCTTCTGCCTTCAATTATAGTTCATAGCATGGAGAGTGGGCAGGAGAACCAGGCTGATTTTTAAATATGTGGTGGTGTTCTTTGTGGTCTTCAGGCAGATTTTTAAGAGCTGAAAGAAAAAAAAGTTATGTATTTGTCTTATAAACTAGCATCAATGTTCCTTTCTTTTCCCTCCCCTCTTCCTGTAAAGATAGAAACTTGATACTGTTTGCTGCTAGTTTTAATTTGTTTTTTACTATTCTATTAAGTTTTTAAAATTTAAATTCCAATTAGGTAACATATAGCATAATATTAGTTTCAGGTGTACAATATAGTGATTCAACACTTTCATACCTCACCCAGTGCTCATCTGGACAAATGTATTCCTTAATCTCCATCACCTATTCAGCCCACCCCCTTACCCATCTCTTCTCTGGTAACCACCAATTTGTTCTCAATACTTAAGACTCTATTTCCTAGTTTGTCTTTCTTGTTTCCCTTTGCTCACTTGTTTTCTAAAATTCCACATAGTAGTGTAATCATATGCTATTTTATTTCTCGGACTAGCTTATTTCACTTAGCATTATACTCTCTAGCTCTATCCATGTTACAAACAATGAAGATTTCATTCTTTTATATGTCTGAATAATATTCCACTGTATGTATGTATACCGCATCTTCTTTATCCATTCATCTATTGATGGACACTTGGACTCCTTCCATAATTTGGCCATTGTAAATAATGTTGCAATAAACATCAGGGTGCATGTGTCCTTTTGAAAATTAGTGTTTCTGAGTTTTGGGGGTAAACACCCAGCAGTGCAACCCACAGATTATAGGGTGGTTCTATTTTTAACTTTTTGAGAAACCTCCATACCATTTTTCACAGTGGCTGTATCAGTTTGCATTCCTACCAACAGAGGCAAGAGATTTCTTTTCTCTTCACACCCTCACCAGCACTCGTTTTCCCGTTTTCCATTTTATTATTTTATTTTCTTTAAAGATTTTGTTTATTTATTCATGAGAGACAGAGAGAGAGAGGGGGAGAGGCAGAGACACAGGCAGAGGGAGAAGCAGGCTCCATGCAGGGAGCCTGACGGGGGACTTGATCCCAGGTCTCCAGGATTAGGCCCTGGGCCAAAGGCAGCGCTAAACCACTGAGCCACCCGGGCTGCCCCTTATTTTTATTATTTTTTTAAGATTTTATTTATTCAGGAGAGACACACACAGAGAGAAAGAGAAAGGCAGAGACACAGGCAGAGGTGAGAAGCAGGCTCCATGCAGGGAGCCCGACGTGGGACTCGATCCCAGGTCTCTAGGATCACACCCTGGGCCCAAGGCAGGCACTGAACCCCTGAGCCACCCAGACTGCCCCTAGTTTCCATTTTAGCCATTCTGACAATGTGTGAGTTCCTATCTCATTGTAGTTTTGACTTGTGTTTCCCTGACGATCAGTGATGTTGAGCATCTTTTCAAGTATCTATTGATCATCTGGATGTCATCTTTGGAGAAATGTCTATTCATGCTTTCTGCCCATTTTATTTTTTTTTTATTTTTTTTATACTTTTATTTTTTTTTATTTATGATAGAGAGAGAGAGAGAGAGAGAGAGAGAGAGAGAGAGAGAGAGGCAGAGACACAGGCAGAGGGAGAAGCAGGCTCCATGCACCGGGAGCCCGACGTGGGATTCGATCCCGGGTCTCCAGGATCGCGCCCTGGACCAAAGACAGGCGCTAAACCACTGCGCCACCCAGGGATCCCTCTGCCCATTTTAAAAATTGGATTATGTTGAGTTGTATCAGTTCTTTATATTTTTTGGATACTAACCCTTTATCAGATATGCCATTTGCAAATATCTTCTCTCATTCCTATAGGCTGCCTTTTAGTTTTTTTGATTGTTTCCTTCACTGTGCAGAAGTTTTTTTTTTATTTTTTTATAGTCCCAATAGTTTATTTTTATTTCCCTTGCCTAGGAAAATGTTGCTCTGGCAATGCCAGAGAAACCATTGTCTCTCTTCTAGGATTTTTATGGTCTCTAGGATTCAGGTCTCTGAATCCATTGTGAGTTTTTTTGTGTGTGTGTATAATTTAAGTAGTCCAGTTTTCCCAATACAGTTTTTTCAAGCGACTTTTTCTCATTGCATATTCTTGCCTCCTTTGTCAGAGATTAATTGACCATTTAATTTTGGGTTTATTTCTGGGTTTTTTATACTGTTCTATTGATGTGTCTACTTTTGTCATACTGTTTTGATTACTAAAATTTTGTGATAGAACTTGAGGTACCTCCGGGTTTGTTTTTTTTTTTTAATTTTTTATTTCCCTTCCCCTCCTCTTCTTTTCCTTTTCAAGACTGCTTTGGCTAGTCCAGGTCTTTTGTGTTTCCAAACAAACTTTAAGGTTGCTTGTTCTAGTTCTAGGTGAAAAATGCTGTTGGTATTTTTTTTTAAAGATTTTATTTATTTATTCATGATAGACACACACACACAGAGAGAGAGAGAGAGAGAGAGAGAGAGAGAGAGAGAGAGAGAGAGACAGGCAGAGGGAGAAGCAGGCTCCTTGCAGGGAGCCGGATATGGGACTCGATCCCTG